GTGGGCGCGAGGCCCGTTGGCCTGTCTGGGCTGTGGGAGGGGCTGCTGGGGCTGGGTGGCAGGATCCTGCTTGGGGACTGATTCGGGGGCTAATTGCCTTGCAGGCTTCGCCATCTACTTTGGCTATGGGATATGGCACAGCACAGAGGGGCAGAAATCCCAGTCGCGGGCCACAGGCCGCAGCGCGGTGGCCGTCTGAGCCGGAGATGTCCGGTGCCTTCACCGCAGCCTGGACTCCCTGGAGGCCTTTGCCCCCCGGCCCCTCCCTTCGGTGGAACAAAGCGAGAAACTGGGCAAGGTGCCAAGCCCTCGCCGGGCGCCCGAGGAGTGGAGGCCACGCGGCCACGCCCAGCTGGGTCCCCGCTGTTTACCTTGATGGACTGGATGTTCAAATCCCAGACCAAGGGGACGGGTGCAGTCGCTCTCCCGGCCTCCCTTCCCCTCCCTGGGTGTTGTTATCTTTGACGCTGTTGTCGGAAGTGCTGCTTTCTCCGGTTGGCGGCAGGCCCCATGTCCGTAGTGCAGCTCTATTTATTCTGTGCAGCCTCGTGGGGGCTGCCTCGTTCTGCCTGTCTGTAAATAGTCCCGTGCGCCATAGTCCCCGCTCCTGTGGACAGGGCAGTTTTACATGTTCGCTTTTGTACTATTAAATTCCAGAGGGTTTTAACGTTCAGCTCCATCGCTGCCCAGGTGGCTTGTGTCTGGCCCGTTTCTTTCCCAGGCCCGTGCCGGGCACCGGCCGCTCTGGGGAGTCGGGATCCGACCATCCCCGGAGCCAGAGACCAGGGGAATGGCTCAGAGAAGCGAGCGGCTTTCTCGAGGCTCGTGTCCCTGAGGAGTCCTGCTCTGGCCGTTTGGCGTCGCCTGCAGCAGCATTTCCCCGGCACAGGCTCCGCCTCGCCCAATGGCACGTGCACGGCGGCTGCAGCCCGCGGCGTTTCCGGCGAATCCGACCATCCCCGGAGCCAGAGACCAGGGGAATGGCTCAGAGAAGCGAGCGGCTTTCTCGAGGCTCGTGTCCCTGAGGAGTCCTGCTCTGGCCGTTTGGCGTCGCCTGCAGCAGCATTTCCCCGGCACAGGCTCCGCCTCGCCCAATGGCACGTGCACGGCGGCTGCAGCCCGCGGCGTTTCCGGCGCTGCGCTTAGGCCTTGTCCACGCTGGCAGAGGGTTTGTCAGTGGCTCCCGGCCAGGGTCGATCGCGCTGGGCCAGCT